CTGTGAACAGGTCGCAGGCCGCACAACCACGCGACCCCCAGCAAAATACTTCTGAGCTGTACAAACCCGTACAGACCATCCAATCCGTTTGTTGTTACCCCACGCCCCGACAGCAAGCTTAAGCAAGCTTGGAGCTCCAGTGCCCGATTACACGTGGCGCCAGTCCAGTGTGACCACCACGCTGTCGCAGCCCAGACACTGGTTTTCGTGAGGTCGGCGTGCCTAAGCGACGACAGTGTACGGAGGAGGAGGGCTGCAAGAAGGGGGCATCGCATCGCGCATCGACCAAGGCATACCGGCATACACTGTCTCGCAGCGACCCGTGTCACCGCCTCTCCCACCACATCCGCCTGACACAAAGCTTCCCGGCTGCTCGCACGACACGCCTGGGGAAAACTGAAAGGCAGGAAGGGTTCTATTTGCATCAGCTGTCTTGCTTTATAAGAAGAAACACGGCACCACGCGGAGGGCTGCATCGACATAACCTTTGAAACCCCGTCTCGCAGGGTTCTGTCAAGATCTTCCTATTTATATCAACTTCTTTGGATCATCATCACATTCCGGCAAGAATTGCCCCCAGAGACGCACAACCCGGCCAACTTCAGTCTCACTCGACGCTCAGCTATCAGGAGCTACCTTGCAGCTCTCTATCAGGACCTACCGTGCAGCTCTTGTTATTACTACCAGAGACATTCCACCCCGACTCCAAATCAGAGCTGTTGCGACCCCGCCGATCTGCCGCACCCTGCGTCATTGGATCTTCCCACTCTCCCAGGAAAGACATCCCACTCGTTTGGCGGCACGGCCCTTGAGACAAGCACCGTTGGTGAACCCTTCGAAACTTTAAACAACAACAGACTTTCATTGACAGGAGAAGAGAGCATGTATATGCAATCATCTATCTGCACCTCATCAATTCGAAGACGCTCGAAGAAAGCTTATCCCGGCCCACATCTGGCTTGTGCATGTTGATCTACGTAGATCGACACGACCAACCGTCATGGCACTCAAACCACTGTTACTACCACAGCTCGTGGAGCAACGAAGGCAACACGAAACTTTAGTCCAACAGGGCGCGGCCGACGCCGACCAGACCTTCATCTACTACACGCACAACTCATCATCATCTTCAGATATCGGGTCGCGATCACCCGTGACTCCAACATTCTCCCGCGGTCACTCACGCTACTCAGGATCGACTTCATCCCTGGAACAACTATCTTCATCTTACACCGAGAGCTCGGCATCACCCACTCAGGCGACAAACAGCATAAAAAATGGCAAGTCACTGCTACCAGACGTCCAAGAGGACCCATTACGGGAAGACGAATACACCGTGTCCGCACCGGAGGAACCACGCGGTCTCTATGACTGCTTATGCGATGAGCCCTCATGCGTGCATAATGTCATTGAACCGACCTTAAGCAACAATTTCACCTACCTTGGCACCGACATGGACTATTATGATTTAGGTTTCATGAGCGACTGCGACTTCAGCATCAATGACCGCCCTAAGAAGCACAGGTCCGGCGATGAATCGCCTTTCGCCGGGTTGAGCCGGCGCGTCAGCTCAAAGATCTCAGGCCAAGTCTCGCGGTGGCGGTCTTCCAGGAAACCCAGCAACTTCAACTTCTCTGCAGCATCTGAGCCTGCTCTGGACATTGGAGTAGGTCGATCGAGGGCTGGGTCACGGGCGGCTTCCAGCAGGTCGTCGTCTATCTCGGCGCCAGCACGATACCTCCCAGACCGGTCAAATGAGCCTCCGCTTCCGCCAACACCAGCGCTCTCATTCTATGAGAGTACGGAGAACATCGCCGAGACTGAGGCAGAAACGCTCGACATAGATGAGCCTGATATCCGGAAGAGCCTAGAACGCGAGCGTGCCTTGGCGGCAACTCCGCTTCTACCTCCCCTCCTCATCGAGCGCCCTCCCGCATTCTCAGCACCACCATCTGTTCATGCGTCGCCCTTACAATCACCAACAGTCGCCGCCATGGCTTCCATGACATTATATGATTCCACGCCCACACCACCCCTCAGCAGCAAGCCTTCCGTATCATCATTCCACCCAGCCGCCTGTCCCACCTCGCCCGTGTCTCTCATGAGCCCCATGAGCGAACTCCCCTCGCCAATGCCCAACCTCATCGAGCACGACAGCTGGTCAGATTTGCTGGGACACGCTAACTTCACCATCGTACCGCGGCCATACCACCCCACCACAGCCGACACGGAAGCCCTCGCCACCCTCCGCGCAGACTGGGACCTCGCCAAGGTGAACTACACCAAGCACCTCTGCCGCACGGGCGAGCACTACGGCCTGACGTCCAGCACGTACACGCTCACGCAGGCGAAGTGGGACGAGATCAGCAAGGAATGGGAAGCGATCGAGACCGACCTCATCAACGAGATCGCCAAGTCCAGCAACGGCCAGATCGACGCGAGCGAGCTGAGAGACAACCACCGCGGCCGCAAGATGGACGTCAAGGTCGCCATCATCCCCTCGATGATCGAGGGCAAGTTCCCCGAGCGCGGGGACGTGGACATCGTCGGCCCCATGCAGCGGGACGAGTTCATGGCGGGCTCGCGGGACGTGTCGCCCATTGACGACCGGAAGCACGTGTCTGCTTGGCTGAAGAGTTTGGCGGGCAAGGTTGGGTTGAGAAAGTAAGAAGATCTTTCTCATCGAGCGTGTTTGGCGTTACTTACGTCACGATTCATCACGACTTTTCATGACACATAGACCTGGCTTACCAGCGTCATTTTTTTCTTGTTTTACACTTTATGTTGGAAGGTGTTACTTGCTTTTTTACCAAGATACCCCATTCAACTTACGACACTCCTTTACCAGACAATGTTTTTACTTATTCACTATTATGTCTTGTCTTTGCCATCATCCATCGCTGTTTCTCACGTCCAGTTGGGGGGGTGGTGATGTGCCAACAAGCACCAATGTCCATTTCCTGCTACTGTTTACATAGACCTGCGGCTGGCTGGCTGGATGAAAGGGGATACAGCTCTGCGCCAAAAACTGAATGTACATAGATTTTCCCTGCTAGGGGTAAAAGTTCATCACTTGACCCCTTCCCTTTGTACATACCTTTCCCATCTACATGTTCGAAAAGTCTATCGCTGTCTTGTTACTGGTGGGACGACGGAAAAAGTGAAGCGCTGCGGCGACGTGTGCTATCACAGGCTACGCGGGGCCGGGATCCAAAATAGAATATGGGATGGGGCCTTGTGGTACGGCGCACGGCATAGACGATTGTACAGGACCTGGGTGGGGTGGGATCGGGGGACACGGAACGCGGGGAGCGGATAGAGAAAGAAGCCTCTGGTCGGCGGGGAAATAGAAGGGAAGTGGAAAAGGGGAAAAGTTCGGATTGTCGATGCGGTTTGGCCGCGACACATTTCATGTATCAGTGCATGTATGTTGGGGGGAAGAAGGATGGGAGTGGCCTATCACATCAGATAGTCGACGGAAGGGGGCAGTAGTTCGCTATGGACAATACCATAGCCTCCGGCTTGGAGCAGGGCGAGGTGTCGGTCAACCCTACACTTAACTTTCGTTCTGCTCAGAGCATCGAGGAGATTGGTGGGTTGGATTGAGCAAGATAGTCAGGGAGAAAGCAAAAAAGCATTGCACATACATCCTCGACCTAAACTGCAGTGGCATATCCGCCTCGTGCCAGTATCATGTCCAAGCAAGCCACACCAACTTGTCAGACATCCAGCCTCGCACACACGCGTCAGCCCCCGCATGTCCCTCCGCGTGAGCATCAGGCAAGACAGACATTCTGTCACAGGCCGGCTAGTGTTCCCTCTGTGTCTGCTGTCTCTCCCCCAGCCTCGCGGGGTAGGCAGGTAAGTCATCTGGACAGCATGCTGAAACAACGTGGCGTCGATAGATAAGCAATGCCCATGACCAACCAGTCTTAACCCACGGCCGCACCCGGATCGGCGCTGCTCGTTCCCGTACGTGGGTTCGGGGTTGTTTTTCCTTTTGTGTTGGCATTATCTCTGTGACTCGAAACATCGTGTGGGGTGTAGGACGAGGAGGTTGTCTTGCCTTGGTTAGGGAATCCCGAGAGTGCGTGGTGGAAGAGGAAGGCATGCATTCAACCGCTGGGAGGGAGCGTCTTCGGGTTCCCTGCGACAGGCAAGTGAGGAGAGTAGAAAGACCAAGACCGGCTACGGGAGCCGGGAGCGGACATGTCAAACATCACATCCAATATCTCCATCAACCGGCGTGCCTGGCGGGACAACATCCGATTACCAGGGCAGTGCCGATATCCAGACTCCCGGCCACGGCCACGGTGACGGCGATGTGCAGATCCGCTCCCGTCTGCGCTCCCTCCCGTTGCATGACTGTACCATCAACCACCCAGCCAGTGGCCGCGAAGCCGCACCAAGCAAACTTGCAAAGTGTCTACGAAGTACAGGTGTAAGGTAATCCAGAGAAGGAAGGGTAGGGCCGTAATCTGTGCGGACGGGGCCAAGCATGGGGAGACAGGACGGGTAGCTACGTAGATTCCATGTTGACACACTTGACATGCAGCCTGTTAATGCGGCCGGTGCAGTGACAGGCCAAAACAGACAGCCAGCCTTACACAGTAGACTAGTAGATCGACGGAGACGCAGGGCGGATTTCACTTAGAGGCAAGGAGGCGGACGGGACGCGGAGGCGGGAAGATGCAGCACCTGGAACGGCGTGCATGCAGGATGCCATCGTGCAGTAGGTATTTGTGCGATCTGAAAAGTGCTGAGTTGGACATTAAGGGAGAAAGATATGAGGAGTTCGCACTGTGGTCGTGATTACCTCCCTCCGCTCATGGTGACAGCACTGGAATCTGTTATGTCCGCAATACGGTCAGGCCAAAATGCACAACACCATTGAATGTGAATCGGCACGATCACGGACGATGATTGGTCGTCAGAGTTGTCAACAGAGTTCAAGGACGCCGGGCCAGAAAACACAATAAGTCTCAAGCCCACACCTGATTGGCTTATTAGTGTAGTGGTTAGCACGTGGGATTTTGACCATACATTTGATCTTCCTGAGTCGCAGGTTCGAGCCCTGCATAAGCCTGACTGCCAATCATACCTTTTTTTTGCCATTTTACTTCGTACTTTCACTCTTTTCGGCCTTTCATCTGTGCTTTGTGCTCTTATGCATTCTGCCATTGGGGTACATGAGTCTTGTACAGCCCGGCACCTTAGCTTGCCGTTTGCAGCATGTCCGAAGCCTCGGCGGCACTACAGTAATAGCGCAAAAGTCTTTGTGCTTTACCCACTTTCTCACCAAAATTCGACCTCTTCGTAAGAGGATAAATCAATAAAACCGAGCCGGTAGAATTATAACAAAAATGGAATATAAAAGACGAAAGGTAATACTAGAGTTTCTACAGTTAGGATTCTGATCAATATTTTTTTTGAAGGTTTAGTCGTAGATTGAATTACACCCTTTCAAACCCCCATATATTTTGTATGAGAGGCGACCCACAAAGACTTTTGCGACATGATTGTAGCTTACTACCTCCACTTCGCCTTCGTCGGGCATCCACGCCTCTCGCAAGGTTGCAATTCTGCTGCCTCTCCACCGTGCCCTAAGTTCTAGACTAGCCCTCCTTGCCCTCATGCCCAGCGAGTCAGTTTATGCGCATAGTCTCCATTAACGATCATCTCAGACATCCAACAATCGGAACCACATTCGATCTGAATATCACATCGGGTATGGTGTAGCGGTAACATCGATGACTCTCACTCATCAGCCCGGGGTTCGACTCCCCGTATCCGAGAACTTATCTTTTGCCTTCTAGGTAACCTTTTATTGTGTTGCTGGTTTGATGCTGTTGCTCGGCTTCATCTGCTCTCAAGTGTCGAGGGCCAGGATGTCAACTTGAAGTGCTTTCCTGACTGTAACCTGATGTTCCCCGTTTTGTCACAGCTTGTAGAACACTCGCATGGGAAGGGGACTTGAAGAAGTCTACTCTCTGTGTGCTAATGACTTCTAACCTAACAAAAAACGCCTGCTTAACAATGCTTGTTCCATCATACAACCTCATCCCACTCCGAATATCCCATCAACATCCTGTTTGCTTCTCTGCCACAGCTCAGTTCGCCTTAAACTTCCGATTAAACTCCTCCGCAGCAACAGCAACCATCTTGTACAAGAACGCCCTTCCACTCTCCTCGCCCACGGGAATGAACGGCCCATTGGTGCCGCCCCTCAGTGTCAAGCTCAACCCCGTTCTCTCCTTCGCAATAGTCTGTATATCTTTGAGAGGAACATCCCACTCCGTCGTCAGCTTCCTGCTCCGTATCAACAGAATGCGCGTGTACGTGACCATGACGACCATGTCCTCCCGCGGCAGCTCGAGGTGCGCGATGTACATCTCGTCGAAGTAGCGGCCGTTGTCGACCTGCTTCAGCCAGAACTGGCCGAGCGCCTCGCGCTGGGAATAGGGGCGCACGATGCCGTCGCCCGCTATGTAGCGGGTGAGGCGGACGCGGTCGAGCTCCGACCCGTCGAAGACGGTGGTTGTGTTGCGGATGCCTTCTGAGACGTGGGAGGCGAGGTCTAGGACGCCGATGGCGGGTTTCGTGGCCAGGCCGAGCATGCCCTTTCCTACGCCCTTGAAGAAGCCGATGGCGCCTTCTTGTTCTGCACCCTCCAGGGGTTTGCGGGCTAGACCGCCTACGCCGGAGGCGACGGATGTGAAGAGGCTGTTAGCGCCGGCTGTGACGCCGTAGAGGGCGTGCTTGGGCCGGTTGCGGGCGCGGGTGATGCGGCGGCGGTCTTGGAATTGCTTGTCTAGTGTTGCTGCGGCGAGACCCTTGGAGAGGGAACCGGTGAACTTGGAGAAGGAATCGGAGAAGCCATAGACGGATTTCTTGAATAGCGATCCAGCACCACGGGCGAGGCCGAGACCAAAGTCCTCGGGGCGCTCGGAGATGATGCCCTGGTATGGCTCGTAGAAGACGTCTGTTAGGCCAGAGGAGATGTTGTTGAACAGCCCGACCGGGTTGCCGAGGAAGTCTGCGCTGCCGAGGATCTTGTGGACTTGGTAGAGGACTTCTTGGCTGTAGTGGTTGGAGATGTTCTGTATCAGGACCGGTGTCGAGACGCGCGCGTTCTCGAGCATCAGGGCGTTGAGGCGCACGGGCGCGTCGTTGACGTTGCCTATCGCCATGGTGATGACGTTGAGGAAGAACATGATGGGGTTGCGGGAGGAGGTCTTGTCTTCCACGTTGACGCGCTCTGTGCGCACGAAGGAGAGGTCGAGCTGCATTGGCTGGATGTTGAGGAGCTCGAAGTAGATGTCTTGTCCCGAGTTCTGCTGCTTTGGCTCCGGGATGTCCAGGCTCTCGTCGCAGAGTGTGCCTTCGTTTTCTGAGCCGTCCCAAGTCGAGCCGGGGACCTTGGAGAACTCGAGCACGGCGTAGACGAAGTCCTCGTCGAGATCGAGCGTCATCTGCTGGAGGAGGACGGTGGCGTACTTGATGTACTGCACGCCGTAGGAGTCGTCCTTGACCCGCGTGACCATGGCGTGTAGTGACGGGTGGGCGTCGATCTCTTGCGCCTTCTTGGGCACCACGCTAGGATACAGGATCATGGGGAAGATGCCGCCGTAGAGCTGGTTGTCAATCTGGATCCACTTCACCGCAAGACTGACGGTCTGGTACAACGGCGACTCCATGTATTTGAGGCCGGCGTCGCGGAGTGTGATGTAGGCCAGCTCCTTGAGTTGTGAGTTGATGAGCGAGATGCCGATACCAGCCAACTTCAATTGTGCCTGGAATGTGAGCCCAGTGTCCAGCTGCTTCGCCTCGAAGCCACTTTGGCTAGTCGAAGATCCGGTGTTCGACTTCTGCTTGTACAGACTCTTGGACTTGTTGAAGTTCGACAGGATCAAAGTCTGTGTCGGACCGTCCGCGGTGACATTGATGTCGATGATCTTCGTCTGTCCAGAGGCAGCGACGAACCGCATAGGTACCAGGTTGCCAATTTCTGCGAGCTTGACATATCTCTCCTTGCCAAAGGCGGCGATGCAGATCTCGCGGTTCTTCGCGGCCGGGAAGTCCCATGCATATGGCATGATGCTCCTGGGGGGTAGACGGTACCGGATGGGCCTCCAACCAGAACGATCCTCGACACCCTCTTCGTCGATGTTGGGATTCGCTTGGAAGAAGGTAAACTCCGTGTCGCTCTCGTTGCGCATCGAGAAAGGCCAGTTCTTCGTCTCCATACTCAGATGCAGGAAGATGGTCGCATCCTCCATCAGCACCTCGACCCGGATGAGCCTCTGTCGCTGACCCGCTTTGGCGATCTTGATGTGAGTGGTACCGATGTCCGAGATGTTGAATGGCGATGTCCATTGGTTATTGACCCCCGGGTAGCACAGGCAGATCTGCTTGACCGGACTGCGCTGGAGGAAGTGCAGCGGCTGGAGAGCGCCGCTCTTGAGCGTCAACAGCCGCGACGAGCTGGGCTCCCGGATGTTCACCTCCTCTCCCATCCTGTTCTTGATGACGAACCGAGGCGCGAGGGTGACGACCTTCGTCATCTTGTACTTGCCCTCGCCCTCCTCGACCTTGACGCCGAGATGGATCTCAGCGTTGCGATTCGTTGACTGCAGCACCACCTCGGTAGCGCTTCCAACGGCGTCGAAACTTTGCGGCTTGCTCCATTCGGAGTCGCCGACCTTGAGCTGGGAGCGGTTGCTGTGGTCGTCATTCCGGTAAGAGAACATCAGCGGTTTCGCCTTCGGTTGCCCACCGTCACCAACGTCGACTAGAGGCTGCCCAGCCGTCGCCTTGGCCTGCTGCATGAACCCCTTGGAACGGATGGCGAGGTCTAGCCCCGTTTTGTTGAGGAGAATGTAGGGACTGTAGATGGTCACCTTGAACGCGCCACCGCTATCTGGAATCTTGTAGTAATGCATCTTGAGGTTCAAGGTCAGACCCTCACTATCCTTGCAGACGAGATGGTGCTCTCTGCGGAAGTCCTCTGACTGGCCAGGGTTGATGATAGCAAACTCGCTGGCTTTGAACAGAGTATCCTGCATATCGACACTCAGTAGCAAGAGGTGCGAGAGCTCCACGAGGTGCACAGGGCTGACGCCGCCCTTTCGGAGGAAGTTGGTCCAGTCCTTCTTGGTGTTCTTGTCGTAGATGCCGTACTTGAAGTCATATGGGAGGAGGTTCTCTAGTGTAACCGGTGCTGATAGCTTGAGGCGCATGTATGGATATTTCCTGTGATTGTTAGCTTCTGGTCCAATTGCAGTGAGCGAGGCAAAACTCACGTAGTCAAAGGATGGCCTCGGTCGACGTTGGCATTGAGCTGGAAATAGAACGGCTCTCCATTCTCGCCCTTGCAAACCATTGTGCGCGTCGGACGCTTAAGCAGATCGCGCCACCACAGTGTCTCGCTGCTCCATCCGTATCCAAACCCCGAGTCTGGTCGCACAAGCAGGCTCTTTAAGTACGCAGCACCAACCGGGGCCGGCCTGCTCTCACCAGGAGCAATCTTCTCAATCTTCAGCAGATGGCCCTCCTGCGGGTCGTAGACACCGAGCTCGATGGGTATCTGCGTGGCGTTCTCGACAAGCAGAGGACTCCGCAGCGTGATATACTTGACGTTGTCGTCTCCGAGCTTGACCTCCACGAGCAGCCGGTGCTGCACGTTATCAGCCTTCGGCTTGAGTTCGTAGAGAAACTCGCCCTCGCGGCTGAGACGGATGTTCTTGAGGGTGTCGAACCCGCTGCCCTCGAGTTGGACACTGACGTTGCCAGAGGCCGCGCTCTCGGACAGGAGGTTCTCGCGCATCTTCTCCCAGTTTTCGAAGCTCCATGGTGCCTCCTGGCCATCCTCTAGTGACAGTTTGTTCTCCTCATCAGCAGAATGCGTCTTGGAGAGCACCACAACGCTGAAGCCAGTGTAGTTCCTGATGCGATAGGGCAGCTCTGCTCCCCGAGCCTTGGTAAGCACATCCCCCTCTTGCGTCAGGAAGGCAAAGGATTTGGAAGCTACAGCAATCGAAGCTGTGGTAATTGTGACATCAAACGTCTTCTTCGACGAGACATCGA